ATAAATACACATAATGAAGATCAGGGCAGAAATAAATGAGTTGGGAAAACAAGATAACAATGTGAAAAATCAATGCAGTAAAAAGCTGGTTCTTCGAAAGGATTAACAGAATCGATAAACCATTGGAAAATCTAACAAAAGATAGGAAGGAGCAAACAGACATCACTGTCAAGGATGAGGGATGAAATGGGAAATTACAAAGGACCCTATTGAAATGGAAAGACTAATTACAGAGCACTACAAAGATCTGTGCTTCAATGAATATCACAATTTGAAGACATGGATAAATACTTGGAAAAACCACCACCCTCAACCCCATATTATCTCATATAGACGTCCAGAACATGAACAGACTTATAGCAAAAGAATACATAGATAATGTTATAAAGGAACTACCAACTAAAAAAGTCCTGGCCCAGATGGCTTCTGAGAATTCTGCCAAGCATTAAGGGAAGAGCTGACACGAATTCTACACAAGTTCTTCCAGAGCATAGAAAAGGACAGTAAACTCCCAAGCACATTCTGTGAAATTAGAATAACACTGATACCAATACCAGGTAAGGATCTCACAGGAATAGAGAACTACAGGTTGATATCACTAATGAATATCGATGCAAAAATTCTTAAGAAAATTTTGGTGAATAGAATACAAAAGTAGATAAAATGAATAATTCATCATGATCAAGTGGAATTCATACCAGGGATGCAGTGATGGTTCAACATCTAAAAATAAATAACATCAACCACATTACCAAGAAAAAGTACAAGAACCATATAATATCAATAGATGCAGAAAAGGCATTTGACAACATTGAGCACCTATTGCTAATTAAGACAATCAAGAAGATAGGATTGGAAGTAAATACAAGCTATATATGAAAAGCCAACAGCCAGCGTTACAATCGGTGGAGAAAAGGCGAAAATATTCCCATTGGAAAAGGGGTTAAGCCAAGGATGCCCTTGTTCCCACTTTTACTCAATGTCATCCTGGAAGTCCTAGCTAATAAAATAAGGCAATGGAAGGACATCAAAGGTATTAATCTGGGTAAAGAAGTGAAACTATCATTATTTGAAGATGATATGATTCTATATATTGAGAACCCTAAAGGCTCCACAATAGGAATATTGAAAGTGATAGAGGAATAGGGTAGAGTGGCAGTATACAAGATCAACAAGCATAAGTCAATTGGAGTGCTATATACAACTGATGGGATTACAGAAAAAGAGATCAAGAAGGTGGTACCCTTCACAGTAGCCAAAGATACATTGAAATCTCTAGGGATATATTTAACAACGACAACAAAAAAAGTTCTGTATGAGGAAAACTACAGAACATTATTACAGGAAACCAAAAGAGACCTTCAAAAATGGAAAAAATCTCATGCCCATGGATCAGTTGACTCAATATTTTAAAGACATCAAACCTACCTAAGGCACTATATAGATTCAATGCAATCCTGATACAAATACCAGCATCATTTTTTAAAGAAATGGAAAAACTGACTACCAACTTCATATGGAAAGGGAAAAAGCCCAGAATTGGACAAGAACTCCTCAAGAAGAAGAATAAAATGGGTGGGCTTCCTTTACCTAACTTAATAACTTATAGGGCCACAATTGTCAAAACAGCATGATGCTGGTATAATGAGAGATAATCGGACCAATGGATAATAACAGAAAATTCAGAGATAAAAACAGCAGAATACACACAACCGATCTTTGGTAAGAGAAATAAAAAATCATATAGGAAGCAGTGTCCTTTTAAACAAATGGTGCTGGAAAAACTGGATATCAACCTGCAGAAGAATGAAGCAAGACCCTTACCTCACCTCATACACAAGGACAAATTCAAGGTTGATCACAGATCTGGAGGTAAAATCCCAAACTACCAGGATCATCAATAAAAAAGTGAAACAAAGCTAAGAACCTATGACTGGAAAAAGGTATTTAGTAATGACATATCAGACAGAGGTCTTATTATTAAAATCTACAGGACCCTGAAACCTTACCACAAGAAAAAAAAATGAACAGCTCACTGAGGAGGTGGGCAAAAGACTTGAACAGAAGATTCACAAAGGAGGAAACCTGAAAGTAAAAATTATATATATAGTATAAGTATGGCTATGTATATATGTAAATATATAAATATATAAAGATGGGTGTATTTGTCCATGTATATTTATGTAAATACAAGAAGGAAGCAGAAGGACTTTGGGCCTCTACTTAAAATCTTACCCCAGTATAAAAATGGTTTGTTCTAGTAATGTGTCAATGTATAATACTCACCTTCCTGATAGGATCGCTAAAGACAAAATGAATAAGCAAATGTGAAGAAAGCTCATTGTGCCCTGCTATTAAAAGATAAAGCATCTGGGGTCTTAAAGGATTAAAGATAAACAAGCGGTCATCTAGCAGGGAAGCAACAAAGCCCAGATGGAAGAAGAACACCGGCCTGTGTAATCATGACGTTTCAATAGGAATAGGTATCAGAAATTACATATATAGTATGAATATGGCTATGTATATATGTAAATATATAAAGATAAGTGTATTTGTCTATGTATGAGCAATCATACATCATGAACAATCAAATTGACATGAAGGAGCATAGACAAATTGGACACCCAAAACCCACCTGTAAGATAATTGGACAGTCCCTTACAGAAAGGCCACACGCAAGGGATGATATATCCAGGGTGCAGCATAGCACTGATGAAACACATAACTATCCCCTAGTTCTTTAATATGTCTCCCCCTACTTTATGGTCTTGGTTTTACCTAATTAATCTTGTTATACCTGAGTATGTTCATTTGTATAATTAATATAGTTTGATGCATGAATTCCAAGATAGATATATCCTTCAGAAACGGTAAGGGGAGTAATGATTTCCTAAAGGTATGAGACAAGAGGTAGGGAATAGGAGGAAGGGGGAACTGATAGCAATTATGACTGCATGACCCCATTCATGGGGAATGAATAACAGAATTTTAGGTGGATGGATACATTGGTTGGTGTAAGATGACAAAATAATAATAATGTATAGTCTAACATAATAATAAGAGTTCCTGGAGGTGGGGGGAGGGAAGGGATAAAGGGAAGTTGATATCAAAGAGTTCAAGAAAGAAAATGCTTTGAAACTGATGGTGATAAAAATTGTACAATTATACTTGATCTAATTGAATTATGGATTGTTAAGGAATGTAAGAGCTCCCAATAAAATGCTTTTTTTAAAAAAGCGATTTAACTATGGAAATGTATGATATGTGAATATTGTATCAAGAAAACTACTAAGAAATAAAAAGAAATCAAAGTTGACCAATGGTTACCATGGTTGAAGGAGGAAGTGTTTTTGCTTAGGGGGTATTGAATTGATTTTAATGATAGTGGAACAATTTGAAAAGGAATATCAATAATGGCTGTACAACACAAAGAGTATAACCAATACAGTGAATTATGCATGTAGAATTTGTTGGTGGTTGAATGGGACAATGTTTTGTTGTGTAGATTTTTGCCACAATTGAAAAAAATAATTACATGAATAACAAGGAGTTCAAGGAAGAACAAAATGTTCTAAAATTGATTGTAGTAATGATTGTACAATTCTTCTTGGTCTGATGGAACTACTAAATATTATGATATGTGGATGAAGTGCCAATAAAACTTTTAAAAAAAAGAAAAAGGAAGTAGTTGAAATGATGAAGTCAAAGAGCTGAACAGAAATATTTCAAAGGGCAACTAGAAAAAACAAACTAAAGTATTATGATAAAATGTGTACAAACCCAGAGTTAGAAAACCACAAAGGAAGAACATATTCAGCATAGCTGAGATGGAAAAAACTCAAGAAAAAATTCAAGCCTCAAGATACAATATTGAAAGATTCTATGGGCAAAATATTGAATGATCCAAGAAGCTTCTAAAGGAGATGGAACGAATACACAGAGTCACTGTACCAAATAGAACTAGTTGACCTTCAACCATTTCAGTGGTACCATGTAATTACGAAACAATGATACTGAAGGCAAAAAGCTGCAGTGACGGCAATGGCAAAAACCAAGGTTTCGGGAATTGATGAAATACCAATTGAAATATTTCAACATACTTATGAAGCACTGGAAGCCCTCACTCACCTATGCCAATAAATTAGGAGGACAATTATCTGCCCAACTGACTAGAAGAGATGTAAATTTATACCCACTCATAAGAAAGATGACTCAACAGAATGCAGAAATTTTCTAACAATACCACTGATATCACATGGTAGAAAATTTTTGCTAAAGATCATTCAAAAACAGTTGCAGCATTACATCAACAGAGAGTAGCCACAAATTAAAGCTGGATTCAGAAGAGGTTGTAGAACAAAGGATAGCATTGCTGGCATGATATGGATCTTGGCTGAAAGCAGAGGATACAAGAAAAATGTTTACTTGTGTTCTATTAATAATGTAAACACATTCAACTATGTGGTTAATAACTATGAAAAATAAAATAAAATCAAAATAACAAACTATGGATAGCATTGAGAAGAATGGGAATTTCAGAACTTGATTGTGCACATGCAGAGGTTGATGGAACCCGTGAGACTATGGCCCTTAGGTACTCTTCAGGTCTGGAATCAAATTTACCCCTGTGTATGAATTTTCATCCAAATAATAGACAGGTAAAATAAGGGAACAAAACATTAGGGAGCTAAGCACAGTTTAAAAATAATCAACCATGTGAAATCAAAGGGGCAGCATTTACCCAAGAACAAAATTTAGAAGAGTTAGGGAGAAGGAGAAGTGGAAACAGGAAACAGAGGAATAAACAATGTTACCTCATGGAGATTACAATCAATGAGATGAAACAAAACATGATTTGTTAAATGGAACAATGATATGCTGTGGAAACTTTCATCTAATTCAGACATTATCTCAGAATATCTGTATCAGGAGTCTTAGATATAATTTGAGATTACCTTGTTGTGGAATTTTGGTTAAAAGATCCAGCACTGGCAAAACTTTCCCTTTGTCATCTATTTGTAGCCTCCAAACAATTATTAATTCAAGTCTGCATGAGGTAAAATACATTTAGATATGCATCTTAAAATATGACGAAAAGATCAAACTGCATCTTATCTATCTCTGATAGGGGAAGAGAGAAGATACCCACCACTCTCCTTCCTCCCCTCACACCCCTAACATTGGAGGATGGCTTCTTCTCATCCTTCCTGGTCAGACCTATATCCTGACATAGCCTGCATTTTGAGTAGAACAATATAGCAAACATAGGAACCACAAGAGTACAGACAAGAGGATACAATTGGTCTGCAACAGATGCCTAGGGTCAATCAGCTGGAGGAGCCAAATTCATTCTGATATCTGAGCTCAGGTATGATATACCCCCATGGCTTCCCTGAGCCTACCTGCCATGGACTTACCCAGCATGGCTGGCACTCTGGATCCCCATGTAGTTAGAGGTGGCGCCTTCTGGGAGATACACGATATTTGGATATTTTTCCTACATGGGAAGAAGAAATGGTTACACAGAACTCCTGCATGAAAGGACATGAAACTGAAGTGGTAGCTGTGGGACTTGTGTTTTTCAGCTGTGGTCATATCCTGGGTAAGAAGCCCAGGGGTTATCAGGGAGGAACACTGCCCACTGTGATTAATTGAAACATTTTTGAAGTGAATTTGGCATTTTGGTTATCATCCATATATGCGCATCTTGGAACTACTCAGGAAGAATCTCCACCGACACTGCCTGCCATCTCTATTCCTGCCGTGCTACTGACAGCCTTACCAGAGCTTCCTGCCACTATCTATGCCCTCACTTCACCCTACTGCTAATTTTCTTTCTACTATACTACTATAATAGTCTAGTTACAACAGCCATTAGACTCTATTTTGTAAATAAAGATTTATATGGAGTGACTCTTATATACAGAGAAGTTGCAAAGATAGTACAGAATTGGTACCCATCACCCAGTTCCCTCTGATGGTAACATCTTACAGACTATGATACATTGCTAATGACTGCTAGTATGCCATGGAAGGATCCAGTACCCTTCCAGGTATCCATGCTGTAGTTGATTTGCTGTCTCTTTAGTCTCCTCTAGTTTGAAAGTTCTTCAGTCTTTCCTTGTTTTCCATGTCCTTGATAGTTTTGAGAAGTTCTGGTTAGGCATTTTGTAGCATGTACTTTAATTTGAGTTTATCTGATAGTTTCTCATGGCTGGACTGGGGATAGGTAAGTTGTCTTCTCCTTAGTGTTAGGTCACCTGGTATCGACCTGACCATAATCATTTAACCTCGCAAGCCTTCTAATGGAGCCTCTGTGAGGACTTTTGGGCTCTACTAGCCACCATGGATGCTCATATGCTGGCCATGCTCACATGTCTGATGAATGCCACAAGTGATATTATTGCTGATGTCAGATGGATCTTGACTCAAAGCACAGAATACCAGTAAGATGTTTACTTGTGTTTCATCGACTATGCAAAGGCATTTGATGATGTGGACCATAATAACCTTGGATAACCTTGTGAATAATAGGAATTCAAGAACACTTCATTGTGCTCATTCCAAACTTGCATATGGATCAAGAGGCAGTTGTTTGAACAGAACAAGGGAATATTGTATGGTTTAAAATTAGGAAAGGTGTGCATCAGGGTTGTATCCTCTTAGCATACTTGTTAAACTATATGATGAGCAAATCATCAGAGAAACTGCATTATATGAAGAATGTAGTATCAGGATTGGAGGAAGACTTATTAACAACCTGAGATATGCAGATGACACAACCTTGCTTGCTAAATGTGAGGAGGAATTGAAGCATTTGCTGATGAAGATCAAGGTTTGTAGCCTTCAGTATAGATTACAACTCAATGTAAGGAAGACCAAAATCTTCACAACTGGACCCATAAGTAGCATCATGATAAATGGAAAAAAGATTGAGGTTGTCAAGGATTTCGTCTTTCTTGGACCCACAATTAATGCTCATGGAAGTAGCAGTCAAAAGATCAAAAGACATATTGCATGAGGCAAATCTGCACAAGACTTCTTTAGCATATTTAAGAGCAAGGATGTTACTTTGAAGACTAAGGTGTAACTGACTCAAGTCATGGTATTCTCCATTGTATCACGTGCAATAGAAATGAAAGTTGGACATTGAATAAAGACTGTAGGACAATAGGTGCTCTTGAATTGTGATATTCAAGAAGAACATTGAAAGTACCATGGACTGCTAAAAGGACAAAAAGATCTGTTTTAGAAAAAGCAAGGCCAGTGTGACCCTTAGAGGCAAGATGGCAAGACTAGGTCTAACACATTTTGGCCATATTATCAAGAGAGACCAGTCCCAGGAGAAGTACATCATATTTGGTAAGATGGAAGGGCGTGAATAAGAGGAGGACCCTTAGTGAAATGGATTAATACAGTGGCTCAGGCACAGGAACATTGTGAGGATGGCTCAGGACTGTGCAGTCTCGTGTTCTGTTATGAATAGGATTGCTATGGATCAAAGCTGACTCGATGGCACCTAACAAGAGTTAGGTTAAAATTTCACACCTTTTCTTTTTTTTTTTAAATTAAATAATCATTTTATTAGGGGCTTATACAACTCATCACAATCTGTACATACATCATTTGTGTACTAATGTGGTGGACACAGATGACACACCTTATCATTTGTTCTCCTTTTTGACCCATTTTAAAGTCCTAAGAACAGTTTTATTGGCATAGAGTTCATTTAGCACATAATGCATCACCTCAATCACATCAAGGAGAGTTGTACAATCAGCACTACAATCGATCTTAAATAATTTTATTCTTGTATTCATTGTTATTAGCTCCCCATTGTCCCCCCAACTGGATTTCATATACAGAAAAAAAAAGTTGTTCTAGTTTTTATTATTTTCTGTTTTCTTTTTGGTTGAGGTTTTTTTGTTTGTTTTACTTTGTTATTGTTGTTGGATTTGTTTTTTGATTTTTTAAAAATGTTTTTATTTATATGAAATCCAGGAGAGATAAATCTGAGACAGTAACTGAATTAATAGTCTTAGCGTTCTGGCAGGGGAGATTACGGGGAAATGTGAAGTAATAATAATGATTAGAAGAATGAACAAAATGTTCTATAATTGACTATGACGGTGATTGCACAACTCTTTTTAATATGTTTAAACTATTGAATTGTATGGTATGTGGATTATGTTAGTAAGACTATTAAAATTACCAAAAAAAATTTAGGCTCCATGCTTTGATGATAATAATCAATTCCCAGATGTGATCTCAAAAGTATTTGCTTAAAACACCGGAAAATGAGGTTAAATTTCACAATTTCCTTGCATTTCAACAAAATGACTATTTGTTTATATTATTTATTGCAGGTCCTAGGGACATTTAGCATACCTTAATTACCATTTCCCCGAAAGTAAGACATCCCCCTAAAATAAGACCTACTTTCAGTTTTGCCTCTCGCTGAAATATAAGGCACTCCCCCCCAAAAATAAGACCTCCCAGAAAATAAGGGTTTAGATTGTTATGATGATGTTCCAGAAGACAATATGACGGTCACAGAATAAATGAGTAAATGTACCATAGATTGTTGTACATGGAAATAATGGTAGTAACAAGAAATTCTTGATACTGTAGGATTCACAGTTTGTCTGGTTATGCTGGTTTGTGATGACAACTACTACCATAGTGTATACAGGTAATACATTTCCATTTTTTTGGTTCAACAATAAATGTGTCCCGTATCCTTCTTCATGGAAAAATAAGAAATCCCCTGAAAATAAGTCCTAGTGCATCTTTGGGAGCAAAAATTAATATAAGACACTGCCTTATTTTGGGGGAAGCAGGGTAATATTGTTAAGCTCAGCTGTGAGGTCCTAACACCAATGATAACAACAGCACTTGGAATCTGACCAAAGAACATACAATCATATTAAGAAGAAATGAGAGCCTAAGAATCTTCCCAAATCTTAAAACAAAAGATTTTTTACACTCTTGTAAAGACAGATTGTAGGGCCACTGCAGAGAAACTAAGCACCTTTGGGACATGCTTTGAGATGTACATTTTCTTTTTTGCCTGGTGTAGAGATGGAAACCTGGAAGGGGTATTTCAGTTAAACCAAAGTCCCATGCCATCATCACACCCACTTCAGACAGAATTATAACCACTGTTGCCCCACAACCCTGCTTTTGAACTCTGTAGATGGAATTGCTATGTGCTCACAGGCCCGAGGCTTGTGCGAAAGGACAGTAGAGCATCTTTATAGATGCTTTGTTTGCAAACATTTCCAGTCTGATGGCCAATCAGGATCCCATGGGCAGGGGTAACAGGGTAACTGTGAGGGACTATAGAGTGGAGGTATTTAGGAAGAAGGCCTTCATGAGGACTGCAAATGTTTGCTGGATTGAAACAAATTGAGCTCCTATCAGATGAGGTCTTGTGGGGACAAAAACATTGCTGTTTGTCAAACACCAGCCTTACAGAGTGGTTAGTACATTCCCTGTGTGAGGTCACTGCTTCCATTCCACTGAGAGAGAGGTTTGGATGGAACAAAACACACCCAAACACAAAAGCAATCCAAACCAAACACTTCAGCTAGTACTTACAGAGAAATGGAATTACTAATTCAGCAAAACAAATTTTGTGAGAAAATGTATACCTACGTGTTTTACATGGAAAGAGCTGGTATAATTTTAAACCTCAAATACCTCTAAATTAATAGCAGAAAGCATGTGAAGGAACACCATGTGGATGTGCCAGTTGGGCTTACTAGCCCTGTGTGCCTTTCCAGGAAGTGTTCAGTAGCCACATGGTGCTTAGCCCAGACAGCCTGGAACCTGTGGGCCACAGGGAGTTGAGAGGATGTGGTGCCTCATGCTGCCCTCTAAGCACTGAGTAAGGAATTGTGTGGCGTCTCTAGGCCCTTTCTTCATGAGCAAAGGAAAGGTTTAGACAATTTACTTTCATGAAAAATTAAAAGTGTAACCTTTATTTTCATTAAAAAAAATAATAGTAAAAAATAAAAATGCACACACGAGAAGACACAGGCATTCAATGTGTGCTTCTGCAGAACTTCTTGGATTGCGTGATAAACATCCTTTTATATGTCAGCTCACTCTAATCAGACAAGAATATATTTTAGAATAGTTTCTATGAGAAAGTTAGATACATAAAGTAGGTTAATGGGAAAATTGTAAACCTGATGTGGAAAATACCTTTGATGTTTCATGTTTTTTTGCTACTAATATACTCAGGCCCAGAGAAAATAAGTGCCTTGGCCTGGTTCTCAGGAGCATGATAGCTGGCTCCCAGGGCTCAACACTTTGTCCACACAAGCTGGAAAATGATTCAGGACTAAGATTGTTCATTACACCACGGAGCCCTTAGAGCAGAAGCACGCATACACACACACACAAACAAAAAACTGCTAACATAGTACCTACTCTTCTCAATGTTATTGTGAAGGTTAGCACATATCTGAACAAGCAGGCACTTAGAGGGGA